GAAGCAGAAGATCACAGCTGCCAGAGCCGGCTCCAAAAAGTCATCCACCTGGAAGGCTCAGGGGTTTAGGGGGTTTATTGTTTAGGGTCTAGGGGGTTTAGGGTTTAGGGTCTAGGGTTTACGGTTTAGGGTACAGCCTCATAGCCGGCTTGAAGCCCAGATCATATGAGATAAACTCATTAAGGGGTGGTTATAGAGGATCTAGGCATTAGGGTTTCGGGGTTGAATGGTTCAGGGTCTAGAGTTTTTGCTCTAAACTCTTTTAAGAGGATTATTTAGGGATATATGGGGTAGTTTTATAGGGCTTATCAAAGGGGCTCATATACCCTAAACCCTAAACCCTAAACCCTCATATACCCTAAACCCTTATGCTGTGCGCATTGGTAGTAGAGCTTTGGGGCTCCCAAAGCCTCGAAGCCCTTTAGGGCCGCAGCCGAACTCCAAGCCTCCAAATCCGAAATAGGTCTTTGTAGGGCCTGAGCCTAAGCCTCGAATTTTGAGGGTATTTGCAGATTACTATCCTTGAAATGTGGGACCAGGCTACAAGATCACTCAGATTCCCTGAAGGCCGCGCATTACACTATGATGCGGGACGTGTACTGCACCAGTTTTGACCACCCCCTACCTACATGATGTCATGTTCTGCTCGGGACTCAATGATCGTATCTTTACTCAAAGGGAATACAATTTCCATACTGGGTGAAACTTACCTTCAACAAGATTTCATCCCAATGAGGCCACTTATATGACCACACCGCAGGCATAGGCCATAGCAATCGGTACGTACACGTTAAACCCGAAACCCTAAACCCCAATCCCGCGGAGCATCCCTGAGATGACACCAAAAAGCGCCAGCAAAGACATATGTCTAGACAATATCCCATAGTTCCTTGTGACCAGCATCGCCCTAGACCCTAAGTCTTAAGCCCTCAAACCGAAACCCGATTTAGACAAACTCATGTGTCATAAAGATGCCTACGCACCTGGCATCTTTTAAAGCCTTCCGACCCTCCGAGGAGGCAGCCGCCGTATCCGCGAGAGAATTCTGGTGGACTGGCGGTTGCCTGGAAGCGGTGGAGCCAGTTAGGCTGGGAATATAACCCCAATATAACCCCAACATGTCCCTAATATCACCCCAATATAACCCTTGTATCATCCCAATATAACCCCACTGAAGCCTTAATTTAACCCCAATAAAACCTCAATATTACCCTAATAAAGCAATATTGCCTAGGGTTTCGGAGCTTTGGGGTTAGGGTTCTCAGCCTCATGGCAGTAAAACTCTAAGGACTTTAGGAGGGACCCCTAATAGGGACCCTTGTAGCTTATGGGGGTTAATTTGGGGACTACCTAGGGATATAGGGGTTATATAATGACTATATAAGGCTCATATATGGTAATGGGATTAAGGGTCCCTATTAGGGGCCCCAAACGAAAAAGGCTAGGGGTTGGTTTGACGCTAACTCTTCATTTTTGTTACCCTTCATCCCTATATAGTCCAGGCAAGACGCGCGGTCTGAGCGTTTAGGGTTTTAGGGTATGGGATTCAGGGTTTGGAGGTCTAGGCGCTCAGCACTGTTTCGGAGCAGAGTCCAGTCCAAAGTTTCGAGACGCAACCTCCAGGTCTAGGTTTAGGGTTTAGGGTTTAGGATTTAGGGCCAACATATCTGATTGAGCTTCCGAAGATCGAGAAATTTTGGAAAGTGTAATGTAGACCCTTGATTAAGAAACCCCCTCCCCTTAGTACGGATTCTAATTTGGATCCTACTGTTAAGGCCCTTCACAGGAGGGGAGGTCTACGTTAGAATTTACACCCTAAGAAACTCTGAGCGCCACGGCCCTGAGCTAAGCAAGCCCCAATTTTAGGGTTTAGGGTTTGGGGTTTAGGGTTAGCCCCAAATCCCTGGAAACCTGAATCCCTGAAAATCCCTGTATTATATGGCTAAGTCCCCCTGACCCTCCGAGCACCCTAGGGCCCTAGCCTAGTTCCGCGCTCTCGCCTTGTGTCAGTAGTAGCACACGTAGCGGCTACACCCTAAAACCCAAAGCCCTATACCCTAAGCCCTCAATCCTAAACCCTAAATCCTGAACCCTAAACCCGTATCCCTAATCCCTAAACCTGAAGCTTGGACAAGCTCGCATAATTACCAAGGTTTTTCCCTTATAGCCTCTCTATGCATATACTCTCTATGCCTATAGTAGGTTATCCCAGATGCTTTCTTCAAGTTCTTTTGGCCCATACATCTGAGTCCCATATAAACCCAGTTTTCACTTCAATTCGCATTTGATTCTTCCACGTGAAGCTCCATCAAAGATTATAAGCCTAAACCCAAAGCCCTAAGCTTTAAACCCTGAACCCTAGGCCTTCTTTTGCTAAAGCTCCTAGTATCTCCCTTATTAAACGCCTAGAATGCCCCCTAAATAATCCCCTATAAAACCCCCCTTTCAGGAGTTTAGACCCTAAACCTTTCCCTGGTTTGAAGGGAGAACGCAGGCCTGCTCAAAGCGACGCTGCGTCTCCAACGAATCCGCCGAAGCATGTCCCAAGCCACCCTTTAGGTGGGGTCAAAGAACGTTAGCTAAGAGTGCCCCGCAAAGTTGCTTCGCGAAGAATCTCTGCTTGGTTGCTGGTTTTCAGCATCCTTGCAATTAATCTGGCCGTTGACTCCTCTTCCTGCAGACCAGGTCGTTGCCTCAAGCCCTTACGTGGGTTAGTTTCCTGAAGGACGACCAGGCTGTAAATCCTGTGATGCCGCGGTATCGGCCAGAAAGGAACACCACAAGCACGGCCCAAAAAGTCGGCTGCAGACGTCAGGTTCGCTATCAGTTCCCGTATCCCGATGGGTAGGAGAATTCCCTCGGGAGACACCGGGTCGCAGAGGGAACCAGTCTCATGGGACTTCACTGGTGGCAGGGTCCGTGTTGTAACCACAAAATTCAACAGAAGCTCAAAGAAGGTGATGCCTGCACCTCGTATCTGTTTGTCCCGCGTTGCTGCAGGCCACAGAATCCCATTTCGCCAGACCCACAAAGCTGCCAGAAAAGCTTGTGGCCAATGTCCATTTGTTGGCCAGTGGTTAGGTAATTCCAAAGGGGGGACGGCTGTCGCCCCACCAATGGAATTACAGAGCCACTGCTTTGCCAGCTCGACTTCCGTCGGGTCCGGTTCTGTCGCGCTCGCTGCTGTATCGTTCAACGTGTTCCGTGTGGACTTGTCCAAGACAGCCACAGTCTTTGTTAACTCACGGTTGTAAGAACAGTAGAGCTCGAAGGCCTCCTTGGAAGTCTCATGCCACTTGACGACCTCGTCCAGTATGTCCAAGACGCAAGGAAATTCCTGTTGTCGTGCGCGCGCGGCAGCATGATCAGCAGCCATGTTGCCCAGGATGTCTGCGACGTCTTGCAGGGACGCCACCGCAGGGTCCTGATGCGACTTGACCTTGCGAAGTTGAAGGTTCCTCGGAGCGGAAGTGACACCCATAGCTGCAAACAAATCATAGTTTGTCGGCAAAGGCTGACCTTGTGCAACTCGCGCCTGGTCCCAGGATACAATGGCCTCAAGTGCATACTGGCTGTCTGTGACGGCTATCCAATTGAGCTGTGGCATTTCAGAAGCAAAGTGGCAGACGTGGAGGAGTGCCAAAAGCTCAGCCCGGTCTATACTCTGCCTGCCGGGGACAAGTCCCTGTTGGACTACGTGGTAGTTGGGCGGAACGCGGGCTTCTGCCCGCCAAAATTGCAATAGCTCCTCCGGTGCACGGTTAGGTGCACAACAGTCAAGGACAACGGAAAAGGCGGCGTGTCGTGCTGCTGGACAAGCATTATTGGCACATGTGCCGTCAGTGTAGACGACACAGGTGCTTAGGGAAAAGGTGTGGATTAGGGAAACCGGGGGCGGGCTCAGGTCTACCTTCCTAGAACCCCAGACCAACCTAAGGACCCCTACATCCTGATGTTGCTCGGGAAATGCACAGTACGGCCAGTGTGGGGCATGCCGTTGTACCCAGTCCAAGACTGGCTGGAAAGGTCTGCGCAATGCCCCATGTGCTGGACAATCAAAAATGCGATGCCATTTCGTATCTGGTTGACCACAAAACCGGCAACCTGCCTCTTCAAAGGGATCCCACTGGGCCTGGGCCGCCTTAGAATGAAAACCCCCAAAGAACACACGTCCTAGGGAACCAACCGCTTGGGGGCCTAGGTTGTTGCATACTATACGAAATGCATCGACATCAGGAGCTTGAATGGAATGCAGACCTTGTCGATGTGCAAGTTTGGGACAAAGGGTGACTTGCCAGGCCCTGTCCAGAGAAGTACGTGCGTCTCGACTAGTGGAGACCGAGAGATCGATCTGCTCCAGACCTGGTCCCTTAATGGCCGAAGTGCTTTGCAGAGTCCAGTCATTTCTATTCAAGAGGCGAGCCAGCGTTGTGGCGGGTCCGAACGGTCTTCCTGACTGTTCCTGGAAGTCCCGGGTCAACTGCAAGGCTCGTTGGCCAAGATCTGGCCAGATCCTGAGGAGGCGTTGCATGGCCACGACGGCTTGATGCAAAAGATACATTTCCGGGTCCTGCGTGCCGCCATAGCCCACTGCCATGGCCAGGGCCACTGAGAGGGAGCGGGCCTTGCCCCAAACAGCACGGGCTGCAGCAGCACGTAATTTTTCAACTTTGCCAAGAGGCATCAACTGGGCCTCCTGCCCATACAGTGCTTGTGGCCAAACACCGCCCCTGCACAAGTCGCGACTTCTGCTTGGCATCGTGTGCTTCTGCAGCAATGCGATTGAGGCGCCTGCACCCCTCGTCAAACCTACCGGCAAGGTCTACCCAACCTAGACCCTTACGAAACCTATACGAAATTTCCAGGTCTTTGGCTGAGTCAACTCGAACCAGCTCGGCGTCCGGAGGCAGCAGCCTGCATGCGTGTTGATCCCACCATTGCTGGAGGCACTTAGTGGAAGCCCAACAAAAGGATTTTTTCCAATCGACCGGCAGAGCCCAGTCAGCACAAAACTTGATGGCATTCGCCAAAGTCCGCTCAAGTGTGGGCTGGTCATAAGCCACCCAAGACGGGTTGTCGACGAATGTCAAGGTATAGCCCTGTGCCGTGGCTGTTCTCTGCGTGACCAACCAGCAGATGCCTATCATCGCCACCACCGACAGGGGATCTCCCTCCGGCACTCCTGTGGTCGATGCAAGCCCCGTGCCAATGCTGCCGTTGAAGCTGGGCGCACGCTCCATTTTTGAAAGAAAATCAAACCAAAGGTGCAACAAACAATCTGGCAGCCCCATATACCGCAACAACCTGCGCAAGGGGACGCGTGGTATTTGATTGAAACATTTTACCAC